TCAGTCCCTTGGCAACATGAATGTTGGCCTTATAATTTTTTTCTCAATATCTTTTTTCTTTGATGTGAAAATATATCCTTGTATCTGGTGACTTTATCAAACAAGATAGATATTTAGATCTGAAGTTATTGTTACCAGTAAGAAAAATGAAATACTTAAAAACAATAACTAAGGTTGAACAGTAAGTGTTTTAGACCAGAAATTGTTTCTAAACATCCTGTGTTGTTTTTGATTATTTTCCGAATAGTTAATAGTTTGCTCCTTCTCCGTTCCACTATTGGTTCACTTAACACACTTGTAAAATTTTATGGCTTTTGTTTTAATGGCTTTCTTAGGAAATGCGACTGATTTTTGCACTAATATTGAAAAGCTATAAAGTATATATGCTTATTTAAATGCTAGGGGACACATTTTTATCTTGAAAGCTTAGTTAAATGTAATTTCTGTCATATATTTTAAATCAGTAAAAGGTATTTGTTTCTTCTAAGGACTTTAAAGAATGTTTCTAATTTCAGAGCTTTCTATAAAAAAGCTTAATTAGTTCCATATAAAGTATCATCTCTTTTAATAGTATTTTAAGCATTAAAATGATATGGTAATTAAAATAATTTCTAGTTCACAAATCTAGAGCTAATTGTTCTTAATTTTAAAATATTGTATAAGCAAGGAGTATATAAAATCTATATGGGTTTCTATTATGTAGTAGTATTTAAAAATCCGTTTTCTCCATGTAATCAAATTAATAGTACTTATAAATCCTCTGGGTTATCCTTGTAGATATTATCTGCCACTCTTTTTGTCCCAACTACTTTGAATATTTATAGTTAACCTTAATGATTCCATCTTCTTAAAAGAAGACATATGTCCAACTGAAGTTCACTATCATTACCGACATTTTACCTAGTAATTGGCTGCCCTTAATAATAGAATTATTAGAACATTATAGATGTGATACTTCCCTTCATTTAAAAATTTTAGAATTAATCTATTCTTTTGAGATTATAAATTTACATTAGTAAATTGTAGAAATGGTCTATAGGTTTTCTCTTTGGTTTGCTGTGCTGTCTGTGGTCACAGATAATACTGTGGGAAAATAAAATCCTTCTAGGTTCAAAGATAACTTTTTCCTAAAAGAAGAAAATCAATAAAAATTTATTTACACATTACTTAGGTGAAAGGATAAGTTTAAGAAAAAATTTAAGAAAAACTTCCATCTTTATGAAGGATTGGTAAGGGATTTAAAGAACAAATAAAATTATAAAGTTATAAAACAAATACATTATAACTACTCTGCTCAATGAGAAAATAAAAGCAGTTACTAAAACATTTTTATGTTTGAGTTTTTGTATTTTAATATGCAGCAATTAAGCATAGTCTCTACATTCCTAATAGATAAAAATGGAGACTCAAAACCAAAAAATAGTGAAGAAAGGTAGCATATTTTGTTTATAAGAACTTATAAATGAAAAAGAATATATACTTGAGGCAGGATTGCATTAGCATTTTTGTTCTACTGAATGTCAGTTAAGTTTTTTCTTGATATTTAATGATACAGTGACCTTTAGTTATATTTATAATATTTCCAGGAATGTTTTTTAGTGTTTTTCTGGGAATGCTTAGAAACAACAAACTAGTATTGAGAAATCTAATATGTTCTTGATAGTATTTTTATGCATTTGTTTTTAATAGATATTAAGGACTTTTATTCTTAGCAAATGTATAGGTTAGTGTACAAGTAGGTAGTTTAGTTTATATATAGTTTTAAGATAGAAAGTTATTATAGCGCTCTTCACAGAAATAGCAAATAGTTACCTCTAAATTCTTAAGTTACGTCTAAACCTTTCCCCACTATCAGATATATAGTCTAAGTATTTTGAGTAGTAAATCTTTTTTTAAATAAGCCTGATGTGTCCATTATGAACACATTGGTACATTTACTTGCCAGTTTAACTTTAATATAATTCAGAACCCATATCAAATACTGGCTTCCCATAAGTTAATTTAACAACAGATAGCATGCAAGGCACTATGTTAAGCGTTGGAAGAGCCTAAGATAAGATACTGTCCATGCTCTCAAGGGGCTCACAGTTCTTACCCTCCACCACCTCACTTGGCATTATTAATGCTCTTCGGCGATGTCTTGCTGATCTTTATGTGGAAGATTTTATACACCACTATAATCTTCATCAGAGCAACAATGATACTGTGGTAAAGACTTTTATAGTTTTATTTGTTATAGTCTTAAAGTGAGTAGAATCTTTGTAATTTAGGGTCAAACTGAGGTAGGCTTTAAAAAGTAATACTCTTTAAATTAAAGGATGCTTACTACTGTCTTCTGACAGAATTTATGTTTTCAGTGTCATAGTTTTGTACTAATGAACTTTTTAATTGAATAACTATATCCAGGAAACTGCAGGTAAAATACTAAAATTGTCTGTTAGGCTCCAAGGAAAATGTATAGAATATTTTAGTTTATGTAGGGTATGAGATCACAGTTTGGCATACCTGTCCTGGAACAGACATTTATGTATGATTATATCAATTGGGTTTTATAACCGTGTTTGTTTTGATAAGATTTGCAAGATAAACTCATATAGTATACCAAAGAGCAATGCTGGGCTGTATCTTGCAGATTAAATTTATAAAAACTACATAACTTGCTTTTGAGTTCATAGTTGATTTTCACCTGAACTTTCCATCTGTCCAAGACAGGGATCCCTGCGATGTTCATATTCTGCATTCTCATGTGGATGGTACTTAGATTGAAAAAGCGTGGGTGGGGGAAAGCTGTTTATAGAAATGTATAGAAATACAAGTTCACAGCATTCATGCTGCATGCTTTGTGTGTTCCACTGCAAATATTGCATGCTGCATACTTGTATTTCTCTGAAAATGAAGAACATGGGTTTGTACACACATAAAAATTTAGTTTCACTTTTGCCAATAGTTGGAACAGATGGAGGAATGTTAGACATAATTTTTCTATTTTTCTAAAATGAATTCTTTCATTTTTCAAAAAACAAGGGGAAAACTTGTTATTTAAACCCAAAGTGGCTACAAATCAGCTCCTAAACTGTCACTGACATTAGCATCTAGATTTTGTAGTTTTTACAGATCTTTTAAAATATTTATTTACTAAGAAAAGATTGCATTAATGCATGATACAAAATTGATAAATTTTTCTTTAAATTGGAATGCAGTTTAAAATGACTGAATTTTCCAATTTCAGCTACTGAATTTGACAAGGATACAAACTGGAAAATGGAACTGGTATCATCTAATTGCTCTAAGTTCTTTGACTTACGGCAGTTGGGAGTAATCTCTCGTGTGGCATTATGTAGATCACATTATTGATGCTAATATTAATTACTATACTCTTTAGCCTTGAAAGTAATGAAAAATTGTGAGTTTAGTTCTTTCGAATGATTTAAGTGTTTTTGTACATGTTTTCATTTTAAAATTAAATCTTTGGCACTTGGCTTTTGATTATCTAGACATCATTGGCATTCTTACATTTCACTCTTTATATTATAATTGATATGAACGTTACAATTCTAATAACTGCATATCACAATTTTAAGTTTCATCATACCACTTTAAAACAGTGGCATACTTGGCTATAGATAAAAATTAATTTTAGATATAAACATATCTTTTAGTTGTCTGTCATGTTACCTATTTTTATTTTTGTGTATATAATTATAAACCTTTCCATATCTTATACAAGATAAAATGGTATTTGTAAAATTTTAGGACTGACAGCGTCCAACCTTAACATTATTAGTGTGCCTCTAAGGTTATGCTGTTAAGGATTTAAAGTAGTAGCTTTCAATGAGCTATTCTGCCAGTTGCCACACATTTTGAAAAGATCTACTTAAATCTTTTTTGCTAAGCATAATAGATAACCGGTTTTATAAAAAAACATTTTTTTTTTTTGGTAGGAACCAATTCTGGTGATCTCTGGAGATTTTTCCTGCTTAATTCTTTGTTGTTAGATTCCAGCCAATAAAATTTGCTATTACTCATATGGTATTAGGAAATTCATTTAATAGTTTAAATCAAGCAGGCCCTTAAAGAGAGAGGAAATGGACAGTGATAACCAGTTGCTGAGTATGTAATCAAATACTTTATACGAGAACTCCATCCAATAATCAGTCCTTACTCTGTTTTCCATTCTGCCATTTAAGATGGATTTATTTATTTTAGAGACCATGGTTTTGAACTACCACTTCGAACTTCTAGAGACCGTCAGTGGTTAACTTGCTTATCTTCTACAACCCAGCATGTTCCAAATCAAACCTTTTTCACTTTTATTCTTCTATATCATGGTGACAACAATCATAGTGACATAGTGACGGTACCAGTTCCATTTTGCCTCCAATTCAGTTGATTATATATTTTTTCTCTTTATTTCTCATTTTATAATTGATATCTGGAATAATCAGCAGCTCTTTTCTCATTTATTTTCTCATATTTTTATTCCAGGATTTGCCTCTGAAGCAGGGAGTGTCTGCATTAAAAATGACCTGTAGTTCTCTGCTTCATAGGTTAGAAACTTATTTTAATATTTTGTGGCTAAGCACAGTCCCACTTTTCAAATTCTGTAATAAATTATTTAATTGGCATTGAATGTGGACCAGAAGCATATATTTTATATTGGGGTTTTCTTTATTATTTTAAATGATTACAATTCAACCAAACATCCAGCTGAGGCAATAAAAGCTTTGTTCTTGCTTTACAGCTTAAAACATTAAATGAGATTTTTAAAAAAATCTATCAATTATAGCACAAGTAAAATAATGCTATTTGGGCATTTTTTTAAAAATGCATTTCTTAGGCCTTGTATTGCTTGAAGCACTGATATTCTAAAACTTAACCAAATTCCAACTATTCATTTTGGGGAAAAACAATCAGTTCACAAATCACATTTTCAATGGGACTGCTAGCCAGCATAGGTGAAAACATGTATAGTGTATTTACTCTTAAATTGTACACTGCAGATGCTTCTTCAGCTCCCTCCTCTTCCTCCATGGGCGGTGCTTGCAGCTCCTTTACCACCTCTTCCAGCCCTACCATTTATTCTACCTCAGTCACCGACAGCAAGGCTATGCAAGTGGAGAGCTGCTCCTCAGCCTTGGGGGTAAGTAACAGAGGGGTAAGTGAAAAGCAGTTAACCAGTAACACAGTTCAGCAGCATCCATCAACACCGAAGAGGCACACAGTCTTGTACATCTCACCACCACCTGAGGACTTGTTGGATAACAGTCGGATGTCCTGCCAGGATGAGGGGTGTGGATTGGAATCTGAGCAGAGCTGCAGTATGTGGATGGAGGATTCCCCCTCCAACTTCAGTAACATGAGCACCAGTTCCTACAATGATAACACTGAGGTACCTCGTAAATCACGAAAACGAAATCCAAAGCAGAGGCCGGGGGTCAAACGACGAGATTGTGAAGAATCTAATATGGATATATTTGATGCCGACAGTGCCAAAGCACCTCATTATGTGCTTTCTCAACTTACCACGGACAACAAAGGCAACTCAAAAGCAGGAAATGGGTTGGTATTCACTTTTTTTTTTTTTTAAGTTCTATCACCATTATGCAAAACAAAACAAAACAAATCATTCCCCACTTTTCTTAATTGCTCAGCTCAAGTTTGCATATAAAGCAAAGATACTAATTTTATCATTGAAATACCTGAAAATTTTAACTGAAAATTACCAAGCTTCACTTAGAGAAAACATAAAATATCAACAGATTTTAGCGATAGGTATATTACTATGGGTATGATTAAGTAGTATAAAATAAAATAATCTGTTTTGAAATAACTTTTAAATTTCAAATAGATTTATATTTTAAAAGGATTTAAGAATATTTTTACTTATAAAAATAACTAGCATGTAATGACTAGCTAAAACAGCTCAAAACATTCATAAAGGGCTAGTTTGTGTTCTCTTTCACATCATCTCTCCATATGATTCAATCAATTTCCATTTTTGTGAGGATTTTAGACTTTTTTTATTTCATAAAAATAAGAGAAAGACTGAATTGATGACTTGATTTTCATCATTTAGATTTATATATTTATTTTAATTGATTTGGGATTTTTAAATTTTAATTTAATTTATTCCATCACCATTTATCCCCTCCATGCCCTCTTCCCCATCCACCCTGCCCCTCCCCAAATCATCACACTGTTGTCCATGTTCATGAATTTTCTCTCTTTTTTGCTCAATTCTCCCCTCACCCCCCACCCCAGCTGTTTGGAATTTAATGAACAAACTGAACTGCCAAGCAAAATAGAGACAGACTCAATAGACAGAGAGCAGACAGACAGCTCTGATTTGGGATTTTTAAAAAATACATCATTAATTTTTTTTTCTGTGCTTCTGTATTATGCATTCAAAGGGTGATAGAACAGGATCATAGTAGGTGTTTGAGTTTACATTGATTTCTGCCAGTGCACAACACTCTCTAAATATATTTCTGTAACTATATTACAGAATATTCACTGCTATATAGTACAGAATACTATGACTTATTTTTAACTTTTTAATTCCTTTAGTACTTTTATTTAATATTTAATTGCTAGACTTTTTAATTAGAGTTTCCTATAGTATATTCAACATAGTTTTATAAAATTTAACACATTGGATTTTTGAGAGATTGTTAGTTGCCCCAGGATCTGCAATTTCAGGTTGTCACAGAAGTGATGGAGAAGCTTTTGATTTGTTTACTACTTGATGACATCATTGATATATATATATTTTTAAATATGTTTTTATTGATTTCAAAGAGAGGAAGGGAGAAGGAGAGAGTGAGAGAGATAGAAACATCAATGATGAGAATCATTGATTGGCTGCCTCCTGCACACCTCCCCACTGGGGGATCAAGTCTGCAACTGGGACGTGTACCCTGACCAGGAATCAAACCTTGATCTCCTGGATCATAGGTCGATGCTCAACTGCTGAACCATGCCAGCTGGGCTCATTTTTTAAAATTTATTTTATTTTTTTAATATATCTTTATTGATTTCAGAGAGAGGACAGGAGAGGGAGAGAGAGAGATAAAAACATCAATGATCTGCTACCTCCTGCACACCTCCTACTGGGGATCGAAGCCCGCAACCCAGGCATGTGCCCTGACCAGGAATTAAACCTCAATAAGTTAAACTAATTGAGTAGTACAGAGAGTATTTTTAATGTATATTAAAACTTATCCTTAAATATTCTCTCATACATTTTGAAAGTTATACTTACCATTTAAGCAATAATTATTCTCTGCTACTTGCTTCTCTGCTCTTACTTAAAACTCCTTTGGGGTGATACAGTTAAGTGAAAATGCACGTTTACCTGTTTTTTATTTTTAGAAAGCCCAGATTAGGAAATTATCTAAAAAAATCCACCAGGTATAATCTTTCTTAAAATGTTTCCATTAGCAGATTCAAGAATTCTAGAACATATGTGTATAACTATTACCTATACAATAATGCTCTGAACCATGAAACATGAGGTCACTGGTTAGACTCCTGGTCAGGGCACATGCCTGGGTTGCCGGCTTGATCCCCAGTAGGGGACATGCAGGAGGTAGTTGATGGTTGCCTCTTTCTCTCTCTCTCTCTCTCCATTCCTCTCTCTCAAATCAATAAAAACATATCTTTTAAATTTTTTTAAAAATAATGCTCTGAAACAGCACAGAACTAAAAAGCTCATGTACATCGTTAAATACAGGTATATGTTTATTTGGGATTCAGTGGAAAAAGGGTTTTGTTTTTAAGTTCCAGAAGAGAGTTTTTTATTTTCATACTGAAATAAATGTTAAAGTTTCAAATGAAAAACAAATAAAATTTTGACTTTGAGTTAGTCAACACACATGGTTTGCGGTTGCTATTAAATCAATATCTTAGAGCATCCTTTTAGTTGCTAAAAGGGATACTGCCCCATTCATGAATTGCTTATTAAAGCCAATTAGATCTTGGGAGGTAAAAACATAAAACAGATATTTGACCTACTTCCTTTCTGCTTCTGCTTTTTGTATGATATATCTTAGAAATGATTTGAGATTACTCAGGGAAAGTATAATAACATTTGTCAAGATAAAATCTCTCATGAAATAATACCTGGAACAGAAATTCATCAAGCAGGAAAAGAAATGTCCAGCTTCTTACGTAGTGAAAAATATTTGACTCTAGCATATGGAAATGATGGAAGAAGCTTAAATTTTGAATTATTAAGAACTCTGTCAAGAAAAGGATAAAGCAATATATAAATATAGAGAAAAATAGGCCTTTGAAGACAATTAAGAGGATCTCAAGTTAAAGTCCCAAATTTTTCAACAAGAAAAATGTTAGGAACATGAAACATATTTAGAAATATTTTGAGAGAGAGATACGAAGCCTTAAATCTAATATGCCATAAACTTATAATTTATATAATGCTAAATTATAGAAAATGTACTCTCAAATATGTTCTGTACAGCAGTTTATTGATCGCTAAGGTGGAAATAGCATTTTTATATGATTACAATATTACATAAAATGTATGCCCTGGCTGGTGTTGCTCAGTGGTTAGAGCATCGGCCTGTGCACTGAAGGGTCACTGGTTCTACCCTGTCAAGGCACATACCTGGGTTGCAGGTTTGATCCCCAACCTGGCCCTGGTTGGGATGCATGCGGGAGGCAACCAATCGATGTGTCTCTCTCACATCAATGTTTCTCTCTCCCTCTCCCCCCTCCCCCTNACTCCCTCTAAAAAATCATGGAGCCCAGCTGGTGTGGCTCAGTGGTTGAGCATCTACCCATAAACCAGGAAGTCGCAGTTCGATTCCCAGTCAGGGCACATGCCTGGGTTGCGGGCTCGATCTCTAGTAGGGGGCGTACAGGAGGCAGTCAGTTGATGTTTTTCTCTCATCAATGTTTCTTGCTCTCTCTCCCTTACTCTCTCTCTCAAAAAATCAATAAAAATATATATTTTTTAAAAATCAATGGAAAAAATATCCTCAAGTGAGGATTAGCAACAACAAAAGAGTTATTAAGAAAACAAAACCATTTAAAAACAGAAACTACTAGGCATTTAAACATTCCTAGCCATATCCTTAAATTCTTCAACTAAATGTCCTGAGACTAGCCCTATATTTCTTCTAGGTGGTCCTAGAAATTAAGATACGTTATCTGGATGTGAAACCTTTTTTAGGCATTTTTATAGTGAAAATTATTTTTGTGGCATAGACAATCAGAAGGATATATAGTACAAAGGAATTAGAATGCCATTTTAATACTTCTGAACAGAATATGCCAAGAGAGTGGATTTTCTTTTTAGATGCCATTTAGAAGTAAAGTCCATACAATTAAACTGATACTTTCTTGTTTTTTCTTAAGCCATCATGCCTTAAAAATTAGTAATTTGAATGGCTAATAATTAGTTGATGTTTTCAATAGTCTTACATGTCTAGAAATCTAAATATATATGTGTTCTATTTTTACATTTAAGCCTAGAGAATAAAGATAGTTTTAAGGGCTTTTTAAAGTATCATTTCATAAATTGTTTAGTTACATGTGCTATTCTTCTTTAAGCCCTAATGTGTATACTTTGTCAACTCATTCAACAGTCTTCTTCCAAAATGAAATATTTTGTTTTACTGAAATAGTAAAACTCATTATCAACTATTCTCATAAATATTAACTTTGCTAGCATAAGTGAATATAAAAATTGTATCTTTCCAAGTTAATCGATATGCTAAATTTTCCTTATATTTCAAACTAAAGTGTTCCTTTTTCTATTATAAATTTGGTAGCTATTAATTACAGATATTTGAAAACTGTAGAAATAGAAGAAGAAAAGAAATAACCCGTAATCTAGTCACTCAGTACAACTGCTATTAGCATTTTGCTCTATTTCCTTTTAGTCCCTTGCAGTGCACCTTTGGGAGATGTTTTTACATTAGTTTCAGTAAGTGAATATTTTTACTTTCATTTTAAAATGACTGAAAAACAAGATACCATTATAAAAATTTTATGAATAAGGGACTGCACATTACATTCAGAGCAAATGTTTGCATTTCTACCCAGAATGATGAAAAGAAAAATAGGATTTATTGCTCATTGTTTCAGCTTCAACTTGATACTTTTGTTCATAGCATTTATTCTTCCAGGGCCTTTTAAATGACTTACTCAGGTAATCTTTGACTTAATTATGTCAAACTTACTGGCATGCCTTAGCCACTTATTATTATAGAAACTCCTTTTTCCCTCTGCTTTCCTTACTTTTGTCCCTTCTTTCTGTTTGCTTTTGTAAACAAATTTTTCCCCCAGCACCTACTCTTTAGGAATTGTACAAGATTGAGGCAATATAAAGATGATTGAATACTACTTGTCCTCAAAACTTACCAGTCAGTCTTACTATACATCCCTTTGTATCCCTTCTTCCCTCCATTCTTCTGTCCCTTCCTTAGCCGTGGTTTGGACTCTGAATGGAACCAGGACTGGTTTTGTTACTGATAATTTGAGACAAAAACATGGTTAGAGGTGGAAGGGTAAACATTAGAGCTAGTTTTAGGGCTGCTTAGCCACCACTGCTCCTCTATGTTTGAAGTCATAATATTCCTCCAGGAGCCTGTTTGGTTTGGGGGGAAATTTTGTCCACAGTCATGTCTTGGCTTCTGAATCATCATTGTTACTGTAAACTTAGAACTGGGAGGCTCATACACAAAGCATTATAGGCCCTGACTTTTTAAAAGTGTGCATGGATAATTTCAACTTATTTTAAAACTAACAATATTGTTTTCTATTTATTTTTATGACATATTTGCAGTGCTTCAGATTAAATGTGTTTACCTAAAGTCCTAACCACCATTTGAAATATTTTTCTTTGAATCCATATTCCACATAGAAAATGAATGATAAAATAAATGTAAGAAACGCAATTAAAAAAAATAAGTTAGCCCTGGTGGTTATTGCTCAATGGTTAGAGCATCGGTCCATTCACCAAAAGGTCTTGGGTTTGATTCCCAGTCAAGGGCACATACCTGGGTTGCAGGTTTGATCCCCAGCCCTGGTTGAGGTGCATGTGGGAGGCAACCAATCGATGTGTCTCGCTCACATCCATGTTTCTCTCTCTCACTTTCTCTCCTTCCCCTTTTCCCTCTCTTTCACTCTCTCTAAAAATCAGTGGAAAAAAATATCCTTGAGTGAGGATTAACAAAAAAATAATAATAAATTAAAAAATAAGTTAGATTGCCTTTCTGTAAAGCCCAGATTATAAAATTTTTGTGTGCTAAGAGCTTTAATTATTTAACTAATCACAAATTAAAATGCTCTGAAAAATTATACTTCTGGGAAAGATTGTTTAGAGTAAAGCTAATTTCCAATAAAAATTGAATCACTGATTTTTTAAATTATAATTTTCTCAGTTTGATGTCCTGAGAAAAGTATCCAAAAGAGTGTTTCTACATGTACCTTCAGTTTTTTTTAAGGCCCTTTGTTTGTTTCTTTTTTGCTACCCCCACTTTTTTTTTTTTTTTTGCCTTTCAAGTCTGATTAGAAAATAATGGTAGTTAATCTCGTAGCTTTATATAACATTCACATATATATGTAATTTAAAAAATTTATTTTGACTGAAGTACAGTGTGAAAGGTTTTAAGTAACATTAGCTATATTCTTTTCTGTTATTCCCAGTTTATTGCATTCATTCTTCCTTCCTCCCACCACATATATGCCCTTTGTCTTCCTTGTCCAATTTTCTTTTATTTTTGCATCGTTAGTTAAATTTTATTACAAAGTTTTAAAATATACTTTATTGTGGAATGTATCTTCCCTTAGACTGTATTTTGTCAGTAAGACAATCGGTTGTTTTTAATGTTACTGCCTATTCTGTTTCCTTCTTTATCTTAGATGACTTTTGTAAAAACAACACTTTTTGATGCTTTTTCCATGTTGTGCTTTCACTTCTCAGAACATTGGAAAACCAAAAAGGAACTGGAATAAAGAAAAGCCCTATGTTGTGTGGACAGTATCCTGTTAAAAGTGAAGGAAAGGAGCTGAAGATACTTATACAACCTGAGACCCAGCATAGAGCTCGGTACCTGACTGAGGGTAGTCGTGGCTCAGTTAAGGACAGAACACAGCAAGGCTTTCCTACAGTAAAGGTATTTTTTAAAATTTAGCAATATATGAAGAATTTTCTCCAGTTTTACTTATTCATTATTTTGTTTTTAACTAGCAAGAACTGCCTGAAATTGAAGGATAGGCTTGCTAACTATATATAATAGAAATTAAAGTAAAAGTCTGACTGAACCATAAGCTAAATATTATTACTTTGATATCACTTGAATTTTAGTTTAAATGAAGGAGATGAGAATGTGTTCTGATAAGAAAAGTATCTGGAAATCATGAATTATCTTCCCCTTATATTTGACATTAGTAGCAACCATATTAGATTCTTCCCAAACTTTATATTTAAGAAATTTTAAAGTGAATTCAAATAAATATTTAAGAAATTATTATAGACTTAGAAAATAAGGTTTTTAAAATGGCTAATGTAATTAGGACTATTCAACTCAGGAAAGGATTGGTTGATAGGTAACAAGTCTTTAGTTTACGAACTAGGATATCAACTGAGTCTTCATTTGTTCAGAACTTATGCTAAAGAAAAAAAGGGACTTAAATTTTAGCACCTGGGATGCCTTGTTACAAAGAATATTTCTCTTTGAAGACAAACCAAAAAAAGTGGGTGGGAGATGTTTAACAAGTGTTCTAACTCCTTGCAAAGTACCAAACAGGTTGGAATTTTGGCTGGTCACATGGTAGGTTCTTGATAAATAGTTTGTGTAAATGTGTTAGTTAAACAGTATTTAGTTGGACTGCCTTTCATTTTATACTTGAATGAAATCATGGTAGAAACTTGGGATCAGGAAATTTATTGGTGACCATTTGTAAAGTTGGTCAATAGTCACATGTACAGTATGATTTCTACCCCTCTACTACTCACAACATCAACCCATCTGCAGTCCCCTAAACTCAAAACAAGTAATAGGCAAGTGAGACATTTAAGTTATGCTTTTTGTAAATATTTATCTAACATAGACATTCTGATAGTTTGGACAGTATTTTTTACCTAATTGCTTTGTCTTTAAATTTTGCTTTATCTAAGTACTTGTCTGATCAGAAGTATTGTTAGATAATTGCCTAACTATGGTAGGACGTGGACTGACCTTAAAAGTTGATTCATTCATTCAACAAATATTGCATCCCTCTATGTGTCAGACACTGTTTTAGGTTCTGTTGACTGACAGTTTGGAAAGGTTGCTTATTTGCCTCATTATGATATCATTTCACAGAGATACAGCTATACTGGGTTAGAAAAGCTGTATGAGTTTTTCCCCCCAAGCATTTTGATGTACATTGTACAAGTTATTTGGTGATTTTCTGCATTCTATATTAGCAGCTTCAATGTTTAACTATAAACCTTGTCAAGAATCAGCATTGGAAACATTTGTTCCCAAATCCTGTTTTAAATATTTATTCTTCAGCATACAAGTTACAATTTAATTTATGAAGGCTTGCTAGAGACCTCTAATGATCAATGTAGACCCTGGTTTGATCTAGCAATTTTTCAGACCATAATGTTTTGGTCCAGGATTTCATGATGTTGTATGTATGCATCTAGTGTATGAAAATGAATTCCATTTTTCTATTATTTATATAGCTATACTTCAGACACTTCTACTCAACAAATAGCTTTAAGAGAGTAAAAATTTAGTATATGTATTCTCATTTAATCATGATGATAATGGTGCCACCAACACGGTTTAGTGACTTTTCCATTAGCGGTGGTGGTAAATCCTGAGTAAATCACAGACTTTTTTGGCAGTCCATAAATTTAGAAATATCTAACGCATTGTGTATTCATTCTCATCTGCTTATATATGTTAATTATAACTGATACTTTTATCATTAAACCTATAATTGTAATTAAAATGTGATTATTGCAGCCCTGGCTGGGTTGTTCAATTGGTTGGAGCATTGTCCATACACCAAAAGGTTACAGGTTTGATTCCCAGTCAGGGCACATACCTAGGTTGTGGGTTCAATCCCCAGTTGGGGCGTGTACAGGAGGTAGCTGATTGATGTTTCCCTCTTTCTGTCCCTCTCGCTCTCTCTTCCTCTCGCTCTCCCTTCCTCTCTCTCTAAAATCAATAAAAACATATCCTTGGATGAGAATTTAAAAAAATGTAATTATTGCAGAATTTAAATTTACGATTTTCTGCAGAAACTTAGCCAACTTTCCTTTATGAAAATATTTTACCTCTCTTTTTTTCTTGAGGATTTAAATTATTTCTTTATTATAATCCAGTTACAAATATAAGACTTGGTACTAAATGTTTGATTTAACAATTAGATTATTTGAAAGGCTAATTAGTGTTTATGCTCCATGTTATCTCACTCCAGCTGGAAGGCCATAATGAGCCAGTAGTGTTGCAAGTGTTTGTGGGTAATGATTCTGGTCGAGTGAAACCACATGGATTTTATCAGGCCTGCAGGGTAACTGGACGAAATACAACTCCCTGCAAAGAAGTGGACATTGAAGGCACTACTGTTATAGAAGTTGGCCTTGATCCGAACAACAACATGACACTAGCGTAAGTACTTAGTAAAATTTTTTTTATTATGTACATAATTGTATATAATGACAGGAAAATTTTTTTGTTTCTAATGTATAAAAGAAGATTTTGAGTATTTATTAAAATGTTTTAAATGTGACAAATTTAAAAATAGATTAATGAAGAATGGTAATGGGTTAAAATTAACTCTTACTCTTTGCTAGAGAATTCCTGTAGTGAAAAGCAGGGAAATAAAAGCCAGGTGGAATGCTGGCTTTTTGGAAAATAATATAGACTTATTTGTTGGAATTAATAATATTAACATTAGAAATAAAAATTATAATTTGGTTTGCTTTCCTAAGCTCTGTTTTCTTAGTGCTTGTTTTAGAAACTGTTTAACAGAGACCATCATGGTCCCTTCACCTATATTTTTATTTATTTATTTCTAAAGAATAGCTTATTGATTTTTAGAGAGAATGGAAAGGAGAGGGAGAGAGAAACACCCATGTGAGAGTGCAACATCAGTTGGCTGCCTCCTGCAGGCCCCCTCTAGGGGTTGAGTCCAAAACCGCCATGTACCCTTGACTGTGAATCAAATCGGCAACATTCTGGTGCACACGACTATGCCCAACCAACTGCGCCACACTGGCGAGGGCAACCTTGACCCATCTTGGTGTGAAAAAGCATACATCTAGTCTAAATTCACCTTCTGGTTCTTATTTTCCTATATTACAAAAAAATTATGTCCTTCTGGGACTATATATTTTTCATTTTAAGCATTTTCATTGCCTGAAAAATATTAGAAGTGTTAATGTACTGATGTAGAGTAGACCTATGTTGTAATTATTTGTATTGGATAGCTAAAGACTTTCTCTAGTTGGTTTTCAGTTTCTTTTTGAAAGCCATTTTTGCATAGGTTAGTAAGAAGTTAATTGGAAAAGAAAATTTGGAAAAATATCCAGTAAAATTTTATTTTTAATTTTTTGAAAATTATAAAAATAAAAGTATATAGTGGAAGAAAAGAAGGGAATAATTGATTATGAAAATAGTACCTAATCATTGTAAGTTGAAAATACAGAATAATTAAAAAATAATAAATAGCCTGGCTGGTGTGGCTCAGTGGTTGAGCATCAACCCATACACCAGGAGGTCACAAGTTTGATTCCCAGTAAGGCAAGTGCCCAGGTTGTGGGCTCAGTCCCCTAGTGAGGGCCCATGTAGGAAGCAGCCGATTGATGTTGATGTTTCTCTTTCATCGATGTTTCTCTCTCCCTCTCCCTTCCTCTCCCTTTAAAAATCAATAAAAACATATTTTAAAAAATAATAATAATAAATAAGTAACAATCAGAAAAGGCTAAAACCATACTCCTCAAAAGCCAACTTCCCAGAAGTAACCACTCCTTTGATACTCACCTTTCCATCCTTTTTTCTGATAAAATTGAAATAATATTGTACCTACTATTTTGTAACCTACTTTTTACTTATGAGTATTTTCCCATAACATTAAATATTATCCTATATCATACATTTTTTTTTATGTTTCTCAGATGCCACTTTAGTCAAGTGATGGGGAGGGGGTGGTTAAAGATGGTGATTATTTTCAAGCAAATTCACCTGCCCCAAGGTGAACAGCCTGGGCTGCCAAGAACAGAAAAATGTTCTCCTTCCCCAGGGACTCCTCCCCCCTTTCCTGAACTGGTAGGACAGAATTTCAGGAAGAGTGAGCACAAAAGGCTGGGCAAATGAAGGGAGGAGCCAGGTAGATTTCAGAATTCTTCCCATGCAAACGGGAACTAGACCTGTGGTATCTCTCTTAAGGCAACTCCCCAATTCCATGCACTTTGGCTTGAGGTCAAACTGCCTCCCTGCAGAGGCTGACAGCCAACATGTATTTCATAACACTACTTCCAGCAGTGCACCCAGAACCCTAAGCAGTTGTGGCCACCATACAACAAATACAACCTGCAGGCCAGAACCTTCTAGGCCTTCCTCTTCACTGGTCCCTCAGCTGCTAGTGTGTCTGCTTGCCTGACTGTAGAAGAGCACCCAGTATGTGTGTGGCTGGGTAGTGCTGGAGGGGCCAGAAAAAGCAACAGTGCAAATCAAATGTAGGTTCTGGAGCTGGATCAACATGGTAACAGGACCAGTCACAGCCTACGGAAGGTCCCATGTGGCCCTCTGTCTTCTATTAATTCTTCTCTAGGCTGTTTCTGGTCAGGATAGCTTTAGGGACAAGTCCAGCTTGTCCCTAAGGCTCACCACCTGGGTGTGGTCCTTGCCTAGCAGCTCATCCAACTTTTGGTCCTCCCAACGCTCTTCTCCTCCTCCACAGGCTGGGGATCCTTTTCCCTGATGAACCATTCCAGGTGGTAGCCCACAGCCCCGACCACGAAGGCCACAGCAAATGTGACATAGGGAGCATAAGTACACACCACGGTCCAAAACACAAGCCACATGACATCTTGCAGCGGCGTGCACTGCCCAGTCCAGCCCCCGCCCTCTGCTGGCTTCCCTATATCATACATTTTTATGACTATGTTGTATTCCATTCTTTTGGGGACAGTTACTAATATTTTTAAAACTAAAACCCATTTCCTCTATTTTAATATCTGAATTAACTGCCAAAAACAAGAGGCTAAACTTATTTACTTAAAAACAAAACAGCAAAAGTATCTTTTGTAAATCATTACTTATGTTCAGATTTTGAAATAGTGATTTTATTTTTTTGTTCTTTTTTCCATTATAAATGAAAAGCTAAGAAGATTAGGAATTAGGAATATTCAGAATTTACCCTTCTCTACCTTTTGAAATTGGAACCTTATAATTACATTACATATTCAAAAATTAATAAGGAAACAACTTTAAAAAAAAGAGACTGCTTTTATTTAAAACATTGTATTCTGTGTACAACAGAAAATATCAGTTAATGTATTTTTTTCTTTGTTTAGGGTGGACTGCGTAGGGATATTGAAATTGAGAAATGCTGATGTTGAAGCCAGAATAGGAATTGCTGGTTCCAAGAAAAAAAGCACTCGTGCCAGATTGGTTTTTCGAGTTAATATCACAAGGAAAGATGGCTCTACTTTGACACTGCAGACACCCTCTTCTCCGATTTTATGTAGTAAGTAAGAAAATAGGAGATATTAAATATATGGAGGTTGGTTTTTTGTGGGTTTTTTTTTTTCTATTAACCTTTCAGACATCTCTAAATTTCAGATGTTTCACATACTCCAGCTTTTGGTCATGCAAAATTTGAAACATTAAAAGCTATAGTCAGATTTTCTATACTAAAGGTAGATAATTTTGAATAAAATTCAAAGGATGTATAGCATTTTGTAGTTTTCTAGTGTCTTCCTATATTGATTTAAAAAAAAAATTTGAATAGTTTACCAGAAGTAAATTGGAAAGCCAAAGAATTTTCCCAGCATCTTCATTGTGTGATAAATTGCTGTGATCCTAACTGTGTTTTGTGTTGTGAACATAAGAAACAGTAGGTAAAATATATGCATCTCCTGTGTTCATTGCAGCATTATTTTTGTTTTATTATTTTTTAAAATATATCTTTATTGGTTTCAGAGAGAAGAAGGGAGGGGGCCAGAGATAGAAACATCAATGATGAGAGAGTCGTTGATCGGCTGCCTCCTGCACACTGCCCGCTGGGGATCAATCCCACAACTCGGGCATGTGCCCTGACTGGGAATCGAACCTCGATCTCCTGGGTCCTAGGTTGATGCTCAGCTGCTAAGCCATGCCCTGCCTGGCTCATTGCAGCATTATTTACAATAGCGAAGATATGGAAGCATCCTGGGTGTCCTTCAACAGATGAACAGATAAAAAAGATATACACACAATGGAATATTTAGTCAAAACAAAAAAAGAAATCTTACCATTTGTAACAACATGAATGGGCCTACAGAGTATTGTGCTAAGTGAAATAAGTCAGAGATAAACAAATACTATATGATTTTACTTATATGTGGAATATAAAACAAACAAAAACAAATGAACAAACAAAACAGACTCATAGGTGAGAACAAAATGATTGTTGCCAGAGGGGGACGATGTGGGGCTATGGGTGAAAAGGTGAAGGAATAAGAGGTGAACAAATAAGTCACAGGTACAGCACAAGGAATAGAGTCAATAATATAAAAACTTTGTCCCATGACTTATTGTGATGATCACATCATAACGTATATAAATGTCAAATCACTATGTTATGCACTTTAAAATAACATAATAATTTATGTTAAATATACTTAGAGGAAAGAAACAGTAAGGTAAGCAGAACTTTGTAAATATACAGCGGTTGGATTTCTGATTACAAATTTGAATATTATAGTATTGTGTTTAGAAATGGGAAACGAAATTCTTATTTTGCTAACCTTGGCACAGAAAGTAAATGATATGTATGTGTGTTTAAATTCAATCATGTTGTTGAATGCACCTCATTATATATTCTGGTTTCCCTCTAATGAGTATTATTACAAATAATAAATAGGAAATTTTTTCCTTTATACGACACTCAAGAAGATTTTCATCAAGAGTAATTTTCTTTGGCATTTTTTCTTTGGAATTTATACCTGAATTAAAAAGAACAGAAGAGACCCATTCCATTCAGTTGAATTTCTTGTTGGGATATCACTGGTATTTTGACCTTGCTACCCCTTAGGACAGTTACAGGGCCTTTGTTATTTTATTGTAGCTTAGTTTTATCAAATTATTTATCCTTTGTAAAACTTGTTTTTCCTTTCCCTTTAATTCATTTCAGAAATTATTGTAACCATACTTTAGCTTGGCAAACACCCTAATTTTAGAAAGAAAGTTCAAAAGTATCTTTCTGATCTTAAGAGAGCTCAAATGAATTTCTCTATTTTTTCATTATTTTGAAAAATTTATTTTGATACTAGTATTTCTTTGGGGTATTTCTGTGTAATGTTCAGTTTTAAATAGGCTGCTTTTAAAGATTGTAGGTTCTGTCCAACAGGCATGGCTCAGCAATTAAGCATCAACCTAGGATTCAGGAGATTGTGATTCAATTCCCAGTCAGGGCATATGCTTGGATTGTGGGTTCCATCCCCAGTCGGCGGCATGCAGGAGGCAGCCAATCAATGATGACTCTCTCATAATTATTTATGTTTCAACTTTTTCTCTCCTTCTCCCTTCCTCTCTCTGAAATCAATAAAGATATATTTTAAAAATAATAATAAAGATTGTAGGTTCCATGTTCATTCTATCACATTCAATAGGGACAGAATCAATAATCTGTAGATGGTTCATTGAGTTCTAAAGCTTTTTTAATAGGGGTACTTCAGTTTTGAATTTATTGTAATTCACAAGATGTGCCATTGAATGTTATTAGGATGGAGTTCCAATTTTAGTGGGGCATATTCAGTTTTTCTTTTACGTAACCTAATGCTTTGAGTATGACCATAGCTACTCTCTGAAGGCCAGAGCCAGGAGATGCTAGATAATTCAGACCATACTGCTTTAGCAGGGACTGAGAGATGGTTGCCAACTTTATTTGTTTGTTCCTTCTTGCATTAGTTTGTTCATTTATTTCTTCATTTTCTATGCAGTAAGGTGTTGTTAAAGTGTATAAGTATATCCAGCTAAAGGTGGTAGAAAGTACTAAAGAAATAGAAAACATGTTTTCTGAAATTTTTCATCTGTAATTATTATTATCACTTGTTAATTATCACCGTTAATGAGAATATATGTCCACATTGTCAAAAAAGTATATCTTGGGAGGTTGTGTCCGACGTGGATATGAAAGCCCTAAGAAGCAGCAGCATACAGTGGAAGGCATATATAGCTAATAATAAAAGTTATCATGTTTTGAATTCTAACTATATGCCAGGGATTTTCTTACTAACTTTATAGGCATTATATCACTTAACCCTTACCATCACATTATATATGGATTCCATTCTACAGTTGATAAAATTGAGACTTTTAGAGAGATTATTTCCTCAGGCCACATAGCTAGTACATAGCGAGACCAGGATTCTAACCCTCTGCTTTTAGTCACTGTGCTATATTGCCATCACGATCAGTTAAATTGCAGTGCTGAAAAACCAAATTTGAACAATTCATTTCCTTGTGGCCATAGCCTCTGCATGGTTAGGACTATAGTTAAAGTTTGAAATTCTGTTAGAGAACTGTTTCCTCTATCTAGGAGATTTATGTTGTATAATTTAGGGTTTTTTTTTATGACTTTAGAAAGTAGATCAAAATTTGTATTAGGGGATTTTACTTGAATACCTATAGTATCCCTTCCATTTCCTTTTGTAAATGTCATTTATTATGGAGGTATAGGATATATATTTTTATCCCTTTAGTTGACTATTTGGCACTTGCAGTCTGCCTAGAGAAACTGGATTAGATAAACATAGGCAGAACTTTCTTTTAAATAAAGGGGTACCTTATGCAGTATACTTCCTGTAACTCTTTTAGAAGAGGAAGTGTTAGAATAATAATTTGTGAATAAGTTTACATGATAAAGAGCTTTCATGGTTCTTATTAATGTTACTATTTTCATACATACAGACTGATTTTTTCTTCATTGTATAACATAGCTTAAAATAATTCTAATGGTAATTTCTATGAACATCAATTAGATCTAATCATTGAGGCAAGAGTCTAATAATCCTCTTGATCTGCACACTCCTCCTAATGGTTTGATTTGATTTTTTTAAAGATCTATCATCCTGTTTAATGAATGTCGTCATTCTGTGTTCAAAATGTAATTTTATTTGATCGTTAGAGGTTTTCATTAAATATACTACCCAAAGGTGTGTAGGTTGGTCAGACAATCTTGCTTTATTGTTTAAAGCAATGGAAAAATATCCTCGGGTAAGGATTAAAAAAAAAGTTCCACTTGTAATTGAAGTTAGACACATAGGAGGTAGAGAAATTGAGATGAAAATACCAACTTTATTACCGACAGAACTGACAGTAAAACGACTGGCTTCTTCATAAATCTATCCGCCCAGTCAGAGCAGCCCTCCACAGTGGCAGGCTTCTTACCAACTGGCAGTGGCAGCAAACAGCCTAAAATGTATGCTTTGCACAGGGAGGCAGATGCAGAAGAGGGGGGACATGGCGGCGGATGATGCCCAATCCCAGCATCTAACCCCCGCATAGTTACAGTCTCATCCTCTCTGCTGGGCATTGCTCCAGTGAGTTTCCCACTGATAATTATACTACATTATTCTATTTGATCCTGACAGTAACTTTGTGATGTTAATAGAATAGACATGATTAGTTTCATTTTTTTATAAAACAAGAAAGGAAAGAAATCTTGTTTGTTCAAGGTAGGACATGGCAGATGAATGAGACAGCTGATTTTATTTGCCCATTGTTTAGAGATAGTATCTACTACAGAATGTAGGAAGGATTTTATTTTGATCAACTGTTACGTAATAGTGGATATACTTCTTAGATTATATAGCTTATAATTCATAATTTATTAGCAGGGTATTGGCATATAGGTACTTAATTGATTATTTTAAATTTATATGCAATCAGATTCATGCTTTCTGTCCCATAGACTTTTTTTTCTTTTATAATAGTTTACTGAGTTATAATTCACATGCCATATAATTTAGCCTTTCAAAGTATAAAATTCAGTGGTTTTTATTATATTCACAAAGTTGTGCAACCATCACCATTATCTAATTTTATAACATTTTTATCATCACCTCAAAAAGAAACCCTGTACCTGTTAGCACTCACTCTCCATTCTCCTCTCACCATAGCCCTTGGAAACCACTGTTCTACTTTCTGTCTCTATGGATTTGCCTATTCTGGACATTTCATATAAATGAAATCATACAATATGTGGCCTTTTGTCTGGCTTCTTTCACTTGGCATAATATTTTCAAGGTCCATCAGTATCGTATCATATCAGTACTTCATTCTTTTTTTACAGATGAATGATATTCCATTATTTGGATATACCACATTTTGTTTATTCATTAAGTCATTGATGGACATTTGTTTTTTCCCCCATCTTTTGGCTATTGTCGTGCTGCTCTTAGCATATGTGTACAAGTTTTTGTGTGGACCTGTGTTTTCAGTTCTCTTGGGTATATACCTTGGAGTAGAATTGCTGGACCATAT